AAAAAAAAAAAAAAAAAAAAAAAAAAAAAAAACTTTTTACCCATTGAGAATCTAAAAGCTCTTTGAATATTGTAGTTCTAGCTCCACTTTCAGCATATTATCTCTAAATATTTCAATTTTAAGAAGACCTTGGATAGTAAGCCTTATTTGTACAAACATGTTTTTGAAAGGATTGGTACAGAATGATCCTCTAAAGGCTCAAATCAAAAGAAAACACACCTGAAAGTTACTTTTTGTAATGCCCAGCAGAAGAGACATACAGGGGGATTACAAAATGAAAGTGACTTGAATTCGAATGCAACATATGAAGTATATCTTTTATATAGAATAGCCATATTCATGAAGGAAACTATCAACCTACTTTAATTTTCCTCATATGCGCAAGTCCCAATATCTAAAATACCTATGACGCGGTGTTACATCGCTCCCCTGGCGTAATGGTAACGCGTTGGACTTCTACCTTCCATGGGATCCAAAGATTGCGGGTTCGAGCCCCGCGGGGAGTGTTTGTGTTGCTTCTGTTGTTGATGATGCACATCATCCTCGTGAGTATTTTTTAAGATTTGTGTGTGGTTGAGTCTGTGGTCTCCGTACGTTTGACATCGAACTGGAACAAGAGCGTCCGTCTCCAACCTCACCGGATCTCAGCGGGGCTGTGGTTAAGTTTGACTAGTACCAAAAAGGCTCAATAAGGGCTGGTGGTATTTAAGATGTGATCAGAGCTGCCGAGAAGTATTGGGTTGTTGAAACAAGAAAAGTCATAATAGAGAATCAAAGAACAACCTGCATTGGGTGATGGGTTCCATTATCAATGAAGAAATCAAAGTCCGTGGGTTGAGCCTTCTTGGACTCGATGTTTTTCCTGGTCAACCTACACGGCTCTTATCAGTATCAGGGATAGACTTGAAAGATAAATAAAGGTGGTGGACAGGGACGGGAATCGGACGCTAACTGGTATAGATAGACGTCATGAAAGTCGTCAAAAGAAGACTATCTGAATTCTTGCTTAAATAGGCTAAGTGTGTAGTCCAATCCTTGCCACATTTTTACTCACCCGCTCGATTAGGACGAGCCTGAATCCGATCACTGGAATTCTCAACCCACATCTCGTACCCACTAAAACAAAATGGGGACTTGGTGGTACCTACCCACTTGAAATTAGTGAATAGCTTTTGCTATCGAGAAACTGATAAGGTAACTTTTGATTAAAATATCTGGTCTCCTTCATAACGCTCACGAACCCCATCGAAAAGATCAATGATTGATGAAGCTGAAGCAAATTCCGTTTTCATACGCACCCGCCAAGTTTTCGGGTCGGGGCTTGACCCGTACCGAGGAACGAGGGACTGATATAGAATCTGACCAACGGCGCGTCATAACATGCTGTCTTGCAACTCTAACTGACCTGAATCTTTCATACAATTTGCTCTGGCGTTTCTATGTAAGACAACTTTGATTTGAAGCCCCCAATTTTCAATCACCCTTTGCCATTTGTGGTATACAAATGGCCAAGATTAACTTAAATTTCTCGTTCTCTCGTAAGCTGAGATGTCCGAGCGGTCTAAGGAGCTGGATTCAAGTGTGAGAACTTGCACGTTTGTGTTTCCCAGTAGGGCAACCTGCGGGGGTTCGAATCCCCCTCTCAGCAGTTAGTTTTTACCACTGATGATTTTTCTTAAACGTAACATACATATAAGCCCCACATTTTTGACCTGATTGAACATTTGTCAGTACTGCAAAAACTCTGAAAGCAGAGAACTCAAGTCCATAGGGACAGTGTTACTTTCAAGGTAATATTTGTGTGATGGCAATGTACAATGTTGTAAACAGAGAGGACGGACCACTGAAAAAGTATTAAGGAGAAAAGAAGAATATATTTTTGGTGTTAGACTATCTGATTTCTTGTATGTCTGCTGTCTCTTATGTCCTGCCCGGACACGGGTATCAATACTTATTTACAGATGAGCCTTGTTACAAGAGGACTGGAAATAGAATTTAGCATAAAACAAGCCTGACTTTATCCAGTTAAGAGATATCCCTACAATAACATTGCGTGTAACCCATTACATCAGGCGGAAAACACGGGAAATACTGCACATATTTTCCAGATGCAGAATCCGAACAAGTGTGATGAATGATCATGGAGATTCTAAGTGCACTTTTTTGTATGAGATAGCTAGAACTTGAGGATTTATGTCCGGAAAAAGTGGCTGAAGACAAGATACTGATCATTCAAGTTCGTCAACAGGAATGACAATCCCATTGGGTCCTTTAGTTATAGTCGAATTTGGGGACCAGATTTGAATCACGTTATCTTCAGCTGCGCTAACAAGGTGCCAAGGTTTTGTGGGACTCCATGCAAGATCTGTAGGTCTATCATATACCCCAGCAAAAAAATTGAGTGCGTCAATTATAAGAAAATCCTGATCACAATTAACCCAGGGCAATGAACAGAAAGTGAAAAAATGAACGTCATGAAAATTTTATCACTCACTGTGCTGTATGGCCTCCATGGATGAAGAGAAGCTCCGGTGGTCCATCTTCAGCGTCATCTGGGCTTTGCTCTTCACCAATCTTACTCAAATCCCAGATATCGATGCGTCGGTCAGATGAACCGGAGGCTAAGATGGTAGGATGGAAGGGTGACCAGGCGAGTGAAATTAGCTCATCACCGTGCGCAGAAAGCGCGTGTAACCTAGTGCTCAGGTTACGAAGGTCCCAAAGATTAACGCATTGATCGCTACCACCGGTAACGAGGAGAAAGTCTGACTGAGGTGAGAAAGCAACAGTGTTGATTTCTCCAGTGTGTGCATCTGTGACAATTTGAACAGCTTTCTCAGAATCATTGTTACGGGTATCCCAGCTGATATAATAGATATCGTTAAGGATAAGTCATAAGCAGGGGGATCAGTTAAGTGTAACTGCTCATGGTGGATGAGTCATTATGGCCAAAGATAGCTTCCTCACATCAATAGCTGCTTATCATCACCAACCGACGCAAACACACTATCTTTGTGATAATGCCATGAGACATCCTGGATTCAGTACCCGTGAATTTGTGTAAGTGGATCCTTTCGTGAGCAAGGTTGGCCATCTTTCTGAACGATTACCAAAACCACTCAACTGAAACAACAGAGGAATGTCCCTTATAAACTCGGTAAGGTTGTAGTACAGGGTCACCTTTGGAATAAGCCTCGATGTCCCTGAAACAATAAGAAACAATACAAACAAAAGAATAATCGCAAGTTACATCCTCAGTTGTGTATAAGCAAAATGAAAAAGGGTTGAGCGGAAATGCATACCAGTGACATATTGTCTTATCCTCGGATGAACTCAAAATATGACCGGATTTGAGTGTATTCCAATCCAAACCAAAGCTGAAAAAAGGCCAAAAAGCCCATGACAGGATGAGTTAGCAGATCGGCGAAGCTGGTGTAAAATGTAATTTTATGAACCAAGTAAAATTCCTCAAAAGGATTTACATACCCTTCTTTTGTATGACCCTGAAGGGTTATATCAGGTTTGCACACATTATCCTTAGGAGGATCAGATGGATGTTTTGTGCGATCGAATACATATACATCACCCATCACAGTCTTTCTATACGATTTTTGAGAGGTGGGTCATGAAGAAATGTGAATGAAGGTAATACCAATGAAAAGCATCCTACAAAATCAACTAGAGATGTAACATACGTAGCTATCAAATCTGGATTTTGAGGCATATATCTTGCTCGATTGACTTCACCGGTATGTGGTATCGATTGAATCACTTTAAAACGTGGGTGTGCGTCTGAGTAGGCTCCAATCTCTGCACAGTCAAACACGAAATAAAAGGAAGGGTCAGCGTTTGCCTGTTTTTTTAAAACAGAAGCTTGAGATCACGAGTAAAGTGATATATAAGGATCATTACCTCCTGTTTGTTCATCAAATTTGTCCAACTCCAACTCATCTTGATCAGGATTAGGTAAGCGCACATTAACGATCTGTAGGTAATTAGGTTCAGTGTCTGATGTATGAGTACCGATTAAGAGACGTTGATTGGAATAAGATTTATCGGAAGATAATTCGGAGTCGGGGAACCATTGGGTCGTTAAAGTAGGCCATTCGAGTGCATGAGTAAGTACGAGGTCGTAAAGAAAGGGCGAGTTCTTCTTCCAGATCTGGGTTTGATAGAGGACCAGATTGGTGGGATCAAAAAAAAGAAACAATCGGGTTAATTTGAGAATTGGTGTTGAGTAACTTTTACCTTGTATTCCTCATTGGCGATCTTGGCGATCGACTATCATGAACCGAAAAAAATAAAAAAAGCAAACACGAGCAAAATATATAAACGAGTGATATGGCAAAGTCAGTAGATGCTCTCTCCTTGAGACGTGTTCATTGAAGGTACAGCGCGTAAAGGGAGAAAATGATAATAAGATTTGATGAAGATAGAACAATTCAGAACCTGAGTTTCTTGTTCTTCGATATCACCTTCCATTGATCGTGTTGCAGCAAGTTGATTTGATTTTAAGGACGCGTTGAAATGAAATAAATATCAAAAAAAAAATAATAATAATAATAATAATAAAAACAGAGGAAAGATGACCCAGGAAATTTAGGGAGCTATGTGACAAAAAAGGGTGAGTTTTAAGGACTAAATTCAAGGTGATTTTAGTCATTTTCTCCCAAAAGGGATGTGACGGATAAATGTGATAATTATGATGTCCAAATTTAGGTTGTTTTATTTCTTTATAGTCAAACATGAATGAGAGAAATTTGAGAGCTCAGGGCTAGGTTTCCACTTCTCCTTGGCCAGTCATGACAACCACTCAAGGCTCAACATCCAATGGAGACCTTGACCACTGATGTGTTTTATGTTTTTCAACCTTCTGCAAGCTCAACTCTTACATCAGTTGGTAATGGTTGATATTTGATTGCACAAGTTGTAAAACAACATGCACCACCGACATAATTGCATGGCATCTGGCAATGCTATGTGATGACCTTGGAAACTGGTCTATGGCATTGTAGGTCTCCTATGTTACATAGCATGCCTCCATGTGATGCAAATATGCTAGAAGTGATACCAGGCTCTCTCTCTCTCTCTCTCTTTACATATCAACAAGTTGATTGAGTGGTTCTATTAAGAAGTAGTGCAATCAAAGTCTACAGACAACAATACAGAAAGTGATGGAGAATTGTTGGAATAAGATTATATCTGCTAGTAAAATACATATACACATGTCTCAAAACTTGAAATACAAACTTATGCAAGTGGATTTCCATAACTCTATGCCTGCTTTAAACACCTCTGACTTGTTTGTTTATTGTAATGATTTGAGGCATGTGATACAATAGCTCATTTTTTCAAGGGAGGACCTTGCACTGCCAAGATATTTGTATCGGATGGGCCTATCCGATGTTCTATCACCCCAAGATATGCGATGCAGTGTCAGTAGGATTAGGTGCGATGGAATTACTATCGGTATCTAATGCTCTGACACCATATTGCAGTGTAATTC